CGTACCCAGTCAGCCACAGCGCCACACACCTGTCATCTCAGCACTCCGGAAGGCTAAGGTAGGAGAGCTGCACGTTTGGGCCCAGGGTGGAACACTCAGCAATTTGGTGAGACTAAAATAAAAAGTCAAAAAAATAAAAATAAATAAAAAGTTAAAGAGTTGGGCATGGTGGCACACACCTGCAATCCCGGCACTCAGGAGGGTGACAGGAGGACCGTGATGAGTTCAAGGCCAGCCCGACCTGCACAGCGGGTTCTGTCTCAAGAATAAACTCAGTAAGGGGCTCCGATGGAGCCCCGCGGGTCCCAAGCTCACCTACCAACCCCCAGGGGGCACAGACCAAGGCCTCGGAAGCCCACAACCATTTCCACTGAGCCACGGGCACCACCAAGTTTACCTGACGAGCTCGAGAGCGAAGCTCACAGGGGTTCTGGGACTTGCTGAAGGTTACAGGCTGGGAGCTGGACTCTACCTCGGACGTGCCCTGCCTGAAGCTCCAGACCTTCCCCCGTACCACACGCGGAGCCCTGCCCCAACCCGCACTTCCTCCCCTGCAGCCCAAGGCTGTGGCTAAGCAGAGCTGCCGCTGCAGACGCCCCTGTGTCACTTCGTCGGCACTGAGCACAAAGGGGAGCGAAGGATGTGGAGAGGAAACCCTCCGAGGCCCAGGTGCCCACACCCAGCCAAGCGCAGGGCAGCTGGCCACAACCTGTGTCCTTCCAACACTGTGTCTAGAGGGGACCTGACCACACATACTGAAGAAGGATCCTTCCAGCTTCAGACTTCGGCGTCCCACGACCGCCAGGACTTACTGTCCCCTCAGGGCGATGGAAAAACACTGTAAGCTGTCCTAGTCCACCCTAGTCCTCACTAGAAAACGTCCCAGTCACCAGTCCCAGTGCCGCACACCTGTAATCCCAGCACTCTCAGAGGCTGAGGAAGGAGGACAGCAAATTCAACCCCAGCCTGGGCCACTTAGCGATTTAGTGAGAGCCCGGCTTAGAAAATGGGCTGGGGAAGGAGTCCAAGGAGGAAGAAGGAGGGAGGGAGGGAGGCCCATCCCCTCAGCCAAACCAAGCGGTCACCTCACTGGTCCAGCCAGGCCCCGCCACACGCTCAGAACTATCAGCCCTGTGAATCATGCTCATTTACCTGTCTCTGTCCCACACCACCCTTGACCCTTGACCCTTGACCCCACTGGGTCAGAAACCCAGTATCCCACTGTTACCTGTACTTTAGGTCATTCTTTCTGACATGACCTTAATTCATAAAGTGCTATTTTCCTTCCCTTTTTTTTCTTGAGACTGGGTCTCCCTATATAGTCCAGGCTGGACTTGAACTCAGTATGTAGCCCAGGCTGGCCTCTAATTCACAGCAATCCTCCTGCCTCAGCCTCCTGAGTGCTGGGATTACAGGCATGCGCCACCACACCTGGCTAGTGCTACTTTCTATTCACAGCTCTGAACTGGAATTAAACAATTTTGTGTCATTTTGCAGGATTCTTAAAATACCTTCCTCACCGGCCCTGCCGTGAGGAAGAAGATGAGGACCCCATCAGTCCTGGTAACTACAGTAGGCCCGGTGTCTAGCACAGGGGAGGCACTGGCTAAACGTCCGTTAAATGTGGAGCGAATGAAAAGCAGAACTCAGTGTCACCCCTAAAATCAGGACCTGACTGATCTATCAGCACTGAACGGGAGCCTGAGCCAGCTCGCCAAGTAAGTTTTTCCATCACTGACTGGACACTGGAATCAGTAACACAAGGCGGAGAGAAGTGTTGATTCCTTTCCTGCACGTTCCCTAAGTATTCAGGGTGAGGAAAAGTTCAGACGGACAAGCCCAGCACCTCTGGAGCTAGAAAGGAAAGAGGGAGAAAGATGGTTTGTTTCAAGCAGAAAAAGCAAAAACCGGGCCAAGATTAGATAAGGGGACTGCACAAGGAAATGCAGCACAGCTCTCACGGGGTCTTGCCCAGGCTAAACACACCCCTGCCACACACACACACACACACACACACACCACAGGTGTGCACAGATTCTCACTCCCCAGCAGCTTTCCCAGCCTGCTCTGTGCTCAGAGAAAGCCCCAAACAGGACAGTTTCCACAGCCGTTTATTCCTCTACATTTACAACAGGCCACTGTTCCCCCCCAAGATGTCCGGAGTGTCTACAGATGCCTGAAACCTAGATCTCACTGCTCTTTTCTCAGAATACTTGCACACAGAATTCTGGCGGGAAGAGGTAGACGGCACGGTAACAGTAAGCCGTACTACTGGTCATCAGAGTGACCAAAAAAACCCTCTACCTCTCTACCCCTCGAAGACGATCAGTAACCATCTTCCCCATCTCTACTTCTGATATTTTAAACCATCAAAAACAATTTTAAACCATCAAAAACAAAGGAATGAATGAATGAATGACAGTACCCATGCTTCTACAGTTCAGGAACAAGATTAAGGTCTTGCCTAGTACTCCACTCAAACACAATCCAAGTCTACTTTTAACAATCACAGGAGTCATACCTGGGGTTGGAGGCCGGCAGTCACAACAGCCACAGAAAGTCCTCACCACTGGGCCACCCCCACACTTTTCTCTCCTCCTACCAGGCCAAAGAACTGAAAAGCAAAACTCCGAAATTCTGACCTCAGGTCCAGCTTGGCTACACTGCTTGTATCATCCCAGCTGCCAAAGAAGGGTTGAAAAATAAAATGTGGCGTTTCTGGGATTTCCCATGGGAGTTTCTACTGACTATTGTGCAAAGAACCAGGACCCCTCAAGAACACTCCACCTGCCACACACAGGCGACAAGGACACAGCAACTCCTCTGTGAGTGCAGGCAGTGCAGGAACCCCAAGCTGCAGGGGAAGGAACCCAAACAGGAGAAATAGCAACAAGAAATGCACTTGATGCTACATGGCCGTAACTTCCTTCTTGTAAATCCTTCCAACTTCAGAAAGTATTGCATCATCCTCATGATCAGCCTACTTCTAAATGCTTGTCTTACAGGCCTATTTTTACTTTGCATAGTAAAGACTCCAAACGCCCAAAAACTTCCTAAGATGAAAATAAAAGTAGCTGACAACAATAGCTCCAGTGGCTTCGTAAGTGGCTGAATGAGTTTTCCCCCTACAAAAGACACACACTCAGAACTGCTCCCCACCCCATGGGAAACCCTTCTTGTTCTACCTTCTCAAAGCAGTCTTTATAAAGGAAGTACGTTTCCAGCTGCAAAAACCATGCTATTCCCTGCTCTACAAAAGAGTTCCTTCCCATCCCATATTTCTCATGAACTGCTGGACATTTCTCAGGAACTGCTGTACCCTATAAATATCATAAAAGCTGAAAGACTTCTTTAAAAATGAAGTGAACTCCAAACTACGCTTGAAATGCAAAGATTATAGTCCATAAACCTTTTTGGTCAGCCCATTTTTCCAAGTAAGGGGAAACTACATTGTTTTTCTTTTATCCTCCCTCTCCCTTCTGTTAGGTGATTATGTACAAAGCTGTAAGAAAATATACGCCAGAACAACTTGTTGGTCTAAACACAAGAAAGTGGCAAGGCACAGCTTCGGAACTATCATTATTAATCATATTTTAGAATGATGTAACTGATACAGAATCAGAATCAATCTCCCTGTGTGTGTGTGTGTGTGTGTGTGTGTGTGTGTGTGTCTCTCTCTCTCTCACACACACACACACACACACGGACTGTTCAGTCATAAGTCAAGCAAAGACGCCTTTATCCTCAGGGTGGGTTTTGGTGGCAGTCACAGGAGTGAACATCTTTTGTATTTTTTACAATTTTTAATACGTACGTGCCATCCTACAATTAAAAGTTTCAAATGCAAAATTACTAGCATTAAGGAATCCCCCAGTCGGCACCCCAGACAGTTTCAATTTTCAGCAACGTGGGCAGCTAACGCTCAGCACGGAAAGGTACCCTTCCTACCCGGTCAGGTAGGGACCTGCCACCTGTCAGCAGGGAAGCTCATGTCTAAGAACACCACGCACGTCAGGCCTCGCTCCATGCCCCGGCGTGCCCCCGTCAGGATCGCACTCACTCGGACCCAGTAACTTCGCTCCGCTGACAGTGACTAAAATCTGTGCAAGGAGGCCGGTACGGCACGCATCTGCACTCCATCCTCGGATCAGGATTCCTCTTCAGATCCCGGGACTGATAGCGCGCCTGCCCGTCGGGCCTCGGACGAGGGCTCCGAGCGCAGGACCTGGACCCAGGCAGGGCCGGACCAGCTCAGGACCGGACCCGGGCAGGACCGGACCCGGGGAGGACCGGACCCGCGCAGGATCGGACCCGGGCAGGACCGGACCCGGGGAGGACCGGACCCG